GCCTTGCGGTTGAATGCCGAAATATGCCTATTCGTTAAAGCACAAGTATAATTGAGTTGAAACACTAGCTATGGTAACTTCACCATCGAAGCTGAGTTGGGGTGAAATGGTGCCCCGGTGGTGTAACTGGTAGCACAATTGCCCGGAAAGCAAGAGATCCGGGTACGAATCCCGGCTGGGGCGAAAGTTTTGCCCACAACTCAGCATTCTTGTGATAAGCTCCACGAGGGTTGTTGAGTACTACAGCTTTACGAGGAATAGCTAAGCATATAAACTGTGGATGCGGTCGATTGCAGGGTGAATATCGGTCGAGGATTCCTCAACGGCACGTCGAGGATTTTCGCCTGATCAGTTACGTTCTCCCGCGCGGACATTCACACTCGCCATGCGCGAGCCGTCTGTGCTCTCCGCGCGTACGTTCACTCTCGGCACTACTCTCGCACAGTACAGAGCCATGGTCGAGGAATTCCTCGACCGTTATTCACCCGTAGCACAGCCGCTTAATTCCATAGCAAGCGTTTAGACAACTGCGTCTACACAGCTAATAGCACATTTTACATTTGAACCCAATTAAAAACTATGGCAGATACTTGAATGTAGAGGATAAAAGTACCTTCCGTCTGAACAAGCGATTGAAGAATCCAGTGCTACTTGAACCATTCTTCTTGTCAAGTTGTAACTGGCCTTCTGGTCGTAAGCTCGGCACAAGACTACCGTCTTCGTCAAAAAACACATTCAACTCACGAAAGCATTCTGTTTCAATCATCTGAAAGCGGATTATTGATCTCTGGCCAATTTAAAAAATGTCGATGTTATGAGACATTATAAGATACTTTCAACATGAATTTTCGGTTCAAGATATGGGAATAATCAAGGACGTCATGACTGTGATGTCAAATCGAAACCTTCAAAATCTTTCCCGTTTCAGCTCAAAGAGCCTGGATAGAAAATCCGGGAAATGCGAAGGGGTTAAAGTTGAGAGTATTCATGTTTCGTTCCCTCAGAAAATCGAGATACTGGTGACGATCCCCTGTTCCAGATTCAAGTTTGGACCGACGAATTCTCACGGGAGGCAGAATTTTTTTGACCAGGAAAAGAGAAAACAAACACAGGAATAAGCTGTGAATGATGCAGTTGCACGCTTCCCAAAAAAAGAAGTAATTGGGACCCGAGCTTGAAAAAAAAGAGAAAAAAACGCGGAGTGGTCCTTCCCATTCTGAAAACATTTCTTTGCTAAATGATTATATAAGTTGTCTAACTCAGAGTGCTTTCCGCTGCTTAACCCCCTTAACCCCTCTCCTATCTTTCTGGCATGGTAGCGACACCATAGCAATAAAATACTGGTTCCGCGATCAATTCATGAACTTTTTCGATTTTTTTCCAACATTTCAAAATCGCGTTCAAGCTACAAAGATCAGAAAAAAACAGCAAGAAGCGATACGTCTGTTGAGTGCGCTGGTACAGTGAGCCTCGAAAGCCTGGGACCTAATTTTTCTTCGATATCACTGGATCAAAAAAATGATTTCTCGTGTGGATAGATTAAAAATCAAAAACACTATATTTCTGACTTTTCGAAGAACGCTATGTCCCGTAAGTACAAATTTCTTTGGTTTTTCTGTCACAAGATTCTAGTAGACATTGGTGATAGCCCTTAGGTTAGTGTGTACATCAGTATATAAGAAATCCAGATAATTAACGAAAAATGAGTCGTCCACATGCCAAGAAGTTGATTTGTTATTGCTATCATTATTTTTGTTATGTTATCTGTTTGCTTTCCTTTTTCTTATGTTTGCTGAGTGCCTGCAGGGAATCGCATTATCAACTAGAAGTAAGGCAAATAGGCTCATAACAAAGGATATGCAGGTAAGTGCAGCAACTCAAGAGAAAGATCTACCTCTGATTGAGCAGAAAAATTTCTGACAACATAATGAATCTGACAGAAATACCGGATAATCAGAGCCAAGGACTTTCTTGAGAGGTAAAACGGCGATTTATATTGCAAGGTCCATACTGTACCAAATGGTAGCGACTGCAGGCATCGGCTGGAGCCCTGGATATGTCAAAAGCTCTGTTCACTGGCGCTCAGATCGATCTATACATTGTGCCGAAAGACGCCTTTTCCACGCAATCACATTAACTTGTGAAAGGCCTGAGCCATGCCGTCGGCGGTACGTAGTTCGAAATGCACAGACCCCACGCGCCATCAACTTCTCTTGTATTCTGCAGCGCGAGATCCTACTCTGGTGATGACTCCACGGTTGGACGCACAACAAAAGGACGTCAAGTGCGAAGAGAGATCGCTGGGCTCTTTTATAGCAGCAAAGCTGCCGATACATCACTTCATTCAGGAATGAAGCTCATAAGATTATACGCGCCACGCGACAAAAACTCACCTCATTTGCACGGAATGTTAATCAAGTTAAAATTTTCCATAAAATACGATATAGTTGGACAATTATCGACACTCCTTTCACTAGTACTGAACTAGTCTATCTAAGACATCTTTCGCATAAACTGCACGTGGATCTGGACAAAATGGAGGTGTCACCTATAATGAACAACTCAAAAGCATGAAAATGACCTGCCTGCGACTCAAATGCTAAGCTAGGAATTATAAAAGCAAATTTCAATATTTTAACATGAATGTATTAATGTGCGGATTCAGAAACATGCACTTATGTAAGAAGAGTAGAAGTCTGGAAGAATGCACACTTCTCCTGATGAAACTTAAAGGCAGGATTACGATAAAACGGGAGGGAGGCAATCGAGGTAAGCATATGCACGCCGAACCAATTCTTCGGCTGCAGTTGAAGCGGATGTAGCGCTTCCACGGAAAAAGATGCGCCTGTTTCTTGGCAGGACTCCGGAAAAACCCGCCCCCAAATATCGATCAACGCATTGTTACTTGGGTATGAGACGAGCTCGTCCCAAGGTTATCTGGGGAAGTAACTCGATATTGGAGCATAGATTTGGCAATGCTTGTCTCACGCGTGCGATGAAAGTTCAGATGCCCCTTTCTGATGCTGTTAATACTGTTGTGAGTGAAAACACAGCCAAAAGCGGCCAAGTTTTGCGTTCTCTCGATTTCATCAGCTTTTCGCCAAGGCATACCATATAGAATGCACCATCAGCTCGCTATAAGACCTTCTCAAACTATCGGTAACATGCTTCAAGATCAAGAACGATAGTCAACGATGATATTAGTGAATTGACACATTCAATGAGTGTTAGTTCAGTAAGAAAAGGCGTAAGATGCACCACAAAAAAGCTATGGACCAGTACATTGCCCCTAACTACTGTTTATTAAACCTCACAATAAGAAATCATCTCGGCACTATTCACCCTTATGCTCACAACTCCAAAATGAGAAGAACATATGGCTAGAAAGGGACCCGGGGAAGCTTGACCATAGAAATACGAATAGTCAAATTGTTTAGACGCGAACGAAAAGGTCTAGGCCGCGACTGCAACGTAAGGCGCCAAAAGGCGCAGGAGACACCTTTATTCACAAATTTCTCTGAGGAATTTGTCGTTCGAGTTAGTTGACCGTAAATTATCAATTATCCATTAGTTCTTTGAAGGTTGTGCACTGACGCATTATGGCGCCAGTGCGAAATGGTAGTGTGAGAGCGCTAGGGCTTGGACGCACAAGACAGTGGATTTTCGCGCTTAGTGAGAGCGGTCTTCTGTTTTACGGGTTTTCACTAGCCCGAGCCAACTTTCTTAGCAATCTTAGCCGTGGACAAATTTCGATTGAAATTCAGCTCAGTTTGGGAGGAGTGGGGCAGTTAAAGGAAACAGTGCCAATCATTCTACTACCTACAAGGAGCTAAGTATGTCTGTGGGTGTGTGTTTGTCCCACTTTTTTTAGGGTGTACTGCAGGAGGGTAACGCGGTCTAAGCTAAACAGGGGAACAATGAAGTGCGAGAGAGCGGGCATCAGATGGTGGGAGAGAGCCTACTAGGAAGTTGAGTACAAGCGTTAGGACGAGAGGGTGACGCGCTGTGGCAGAACCGCGGTAGCGAGCGTAAGGCTAGGATGATGTGGAGTGATTCACTGCTAATGTCCAGGTTGGCTACATTTAGAAAAACACTCAGCTAGTGTGAAGTGGCAGCGTGCGGTACTGTCTGGAACTCATAATAGCGTCGCTGTGACGCTCTGGTTGCAAAACCACAAGTGATATTTATCTATACTTGGACCTAGGTCAACACGCTATTGAAAGTTCCCAGAAATTTAGAAAACAAGGCCAAGTACCCTCCCTTTCAAAAACGAGAAGAGCGTCGGGTGCAGACCATACACCACAAGTGACGACGGCCTCCAAGTAAATCTGGTTAGTAGTGGTTCATAGTGATAGCTGATTTTGGTAAATGATAGTTGTAATTAGTGACAACGATAGAATACAACTGCAACAGGCTAATCATTTCATTGGCAGAAAACATTAACATTTTGTGGAGGCCGTCGTCACTTGTGGTGTATGGTCTGCACCCGACGCTCTTCTCGTTTTTGAAAGGGAGTATAGATGTGAATGCGTTCAGTACAAGTTAATATTTTAGTTACTGTCAATTGAGGAAATGTTGCGGAATGCGATATGCTAAAGCTACTACCTTTCCTGCTTCCATTTTCTTCCAAGGCACCGGTTCACGGTTTGTCTTACTTTCGGCGGTGTTGAAAAAAGAATGTCCGCGAATTTCTTCGGCTCCTTCTTCTGGTTTACTGACACGACGACATCCAAGACGAAAGGAAGGTTCTTTATGAAGTAGAGCTCTTAAAAATCATAGTTTAGCATCAAAGAGAACGAGAGAGGAATGTTTAGAAGTATTAAGGTCTGATAACGTTGCTGAATTTTTTCTTTATAATGGTGTCGAACAGAACGTGTGTGTACGGTAGAAGCTGGCAAGTGTGAAGCTTTGATAAGGAATGGCGGCCTTCATTATCATCATTCATAGTGGGCTAAGAGATAGTAAGAATCAAATGCGTCGACCCGAACGCGACGCCGAATAGTCAGAAAAGCAGAAGTTAAAAGTTTTCATGAAATTATTTTACTTCAGATGACTTCACATCAGTTCCGAGCTCAATAACATTTAAGTTGCCCCAAAAGGTGCCACTTTCAAACATTTTTTTCTGTCAGGCAAAAGAACCAATGCGCCTGAAAGCCACAGTCAAAAAGAAGGGCATATCTCCTACCTGTTCAATCTGTGACCGTAGCAGGTTGCAAATTTAGCAAGTAGAATCGCACAGGGGTCCCCCAGCAAAAAGGAGAGTAGTTAGCCAGTGTGACTCTCCACCTCGGATTGTGCTACTACGATTGAGTCGCTCGTCGCTAAGTGCCAAAACCCCGACTTATACTTCCAATCGGCTTAGTGACCCCGCTTGTCTTCGTAGCTTCTACTACGCCTCAGTGGAAGTAAGCAAACCAGCCCTTTTGGCGTTTCTGCTGGGGCCGTATGCTGAATGTTGGGGAGGGGATGGGTCCCCGACGGTCGACGGACCACTTCAACTCGGTCCTTAGAACCGCCACAATTTGGTGCTTACCTCAGAACTAAGCCTTAAAGAGAGGAGGACGGGTCCGCCCCTCTCCAAGGCTTAGTCCTGGGGTGAGCAAACCAGCCCTTCTGGCGGAGCTGCTGGACCAGCTGCACCACTTGCGTCATACTCTCCTACCGTACCGACCGAGTTGAAGTAGTCCGTCGACCTCGGGGACCCCATCCCCTCCCCAACATTCAGCATACGGCCCAGCAGAAACGCCAAAAGGGCTGGTTTGCTTACCTCTACCATAGTGTGATGCTTAAGGCTCTACTTTGCAGTAGGGGCTAAACCGTAACAAAACCGAAATCACTTATTTCTAACAGCTATCGTTTTTCGAATTCGATTCAGGTTCGTCGCCACGGTTCCGCGGATAAGGAGCCTCCCAACTCACGACTCTCCAACTCGCATCGGGAAAATTGTCCGGTCGATTTTGCTTTCGATACCCTACTTGCGATTTGATTCATTGATCCATTATTTTATTTGTCGTTGCACCGTTAAATAAATCTTGTTGATATCCGCGTCATTCCTGCCCTCACTCCGAAACCCGGTCAAATCTTTTGAACAGGGATACGGCTTCCAGTTCACATTATTTCAACATAGAGCAATGTTTGGTAGCAGTATATGACCCACCACTACCACTGACTGTTGCTGAACATTTACCGAAAATTTAATGCCGTGTTCTCAAAAAAAAAACGGCAGTTTAGAGCTGAAGAAGAAGAAGAGGTCAATTTCGAGATTCTTCTTTGGATCGTAATCCTCCGCAAAGTGATTGCTGATAAGCAAGAACAGATGCCAGAGGAGGCTGCTCACCACCGTAACGTGGATCTGGCAATTCTGCACCACCAGAAAACCTTCCCTTCTTTGTTGAGTTGCATAAATTTCACGCCCCTCACCCAGAAACATTTACTCCGAGACAAATGGATGAATGACTTTACCGGCAAAGTGTCCGCGCAGCCTCACTGAACTTGTCAGAATATTTTTCTTGGTCTTCTCGTACTCGTCTTTCCACCTCCTCTCGTTTCACTTTCTCTTTCCGTTGCCGAAACGGAGCCTTAAATACAACTAGTGAATTTTGCATTTCTAAAGGATAAACTGTACAAGATAAACTGTACACATATATGATGCCTTGAATGTTTCAAAGCTGAAAAATACTTTATTTTCTAGCTTAACAATAATTCATTTTCCCACTCATAAAATTCCGAAAGCAGTATGCGCTAATTTGTTCAAATTCTGTATTAAAAGCATATAGTGGAGCACGGAATGAGTCTCCAAAGATTTGTGGGCACTTAAGATATCAAATAAAATTTCATTTCGTAGATAAAGACTGGAAGGATTACTTCCACGAAAACTTAAGGCAAACCCCGGGATTGGCCCGACTAGTAGGAGGGATACCACTACGGGAAATTGCAAGGTCTGTAACCTCCTAAATCACTCCAGCTTCGTCGCAAAAATTGCGTGGTTAGGGCGCTAATCCCAACGAACGTGGCCATGAAGTTGTCATTAAAAAAAACTGTTTCAAGCATAGTATTCACAATAGGCGGAGACTTTTCGGACAACCCTATGAGACGAATGAATATTGGTTCACAACCCTATACAAAAGTCAATAAAACAGAGTAATCAATCAAAACTATACCTTTCCTTCAATCATTTCGTAGATGAGGCATCCAAGACCCCACCAATCCACGCCATACGAATATCGTTCATTCTTCACAATTTCAGGAGCTCAAAATGAACCTGTTGATGACAAGGCGACCAAGGGAAAAAACGTAAATATCATCAATTAAGGGTCTCCTCACCCATATAACCTACAGTTCCTACTCTTCCTTTGATCGGCTCCTCGTTGCTCCTTCCAGCTTCAACAGCTAACATCCGAGATCTGGAAATTCGAAAATAACCGTAAATAAGTAGAAAAGAATCTTGCTAATGATTCAGCAGACATCATACATCTACAGTGACTCCCACGCATTAAATAATGCTGATTATTCATTTTTGTTATCACTCGAGAAGCAGTTGTAATGAAGATAACACCCTGCCTCATAAGGCAGCTCTGTATGTTGAGGCAAGTGCCAGCGATTTAAGGAGGCATTAACATGCACTCATTCTCCATTGAAATATCAGCTGAGCGACAAAAATGCAAGTGATGTGCAATCGGCTGCCGCTAATGAGCGCAACCTTCAAGAGCATAGTGATATTAAGAATAAACCTTAAAATGTAGTTACATGAGAACACCATTGATGATGTCTACATTAGACCTTCATCAAAAGGAGGGCCAAAAGTATGGCAATCGCGAGCAAGCCTGGTCGAAAATGCTTTTTAAAAAAAAATTTGAATTTCTTTTCTTTTCAATGATACTGTAATGGGGACATCGTATAACTTCGTATTGCAATCGACTTGGTTTTGACACAAACTCACTTCTAACACTAGCATGCGGTAACTTACAATGAAGCTATAGGGCGATGTCAAGACTGCGAGATCGCCTAGTACGATCGCCCGATCGCAAATCTGACACTCGCGCCTGAGATGGACAACCACCGTAAACGACTGGAATATTGGAAACCCCTCATATGAGGAAGACGGAGATTCGAGGGTCATAACTATCACTAAGGTAAACATTGAGCTGTCCCGTTGTTTTCAGAACTTCAGACGGTTCTCTCCCACTGCTCCGGCCAACCTCGGGAACTGTTCCACGATGGCATTCGCCATGTGTGTACAATAGCAAGCGGTTATCAAGAACAAGACATTCAGTCAATCTAGCATACCAAGAGGAATATCCTCCCACCGACATAATTTTGCATTTGGTTTGAGCGATGAGCCAGGGTGCTCGGGTCACTAAACCAGAGCAGCGATATGTTTCCTTTCGCGCGGGAAAGCTTTCCTCGTTGGGGACCCTCAGGTCCCCAAATGATCATTCACGGGCCCTGTGGCTCCGTAACGAAAAGATACGCGCGACGAAACGGAAAATCGCCGTTCTGTCTTGGTGAACGACACCCTTATTAGTCCCAGAGCTAGTGATGAGCGCAATATTAGGGGAAATCCTATCTAAACAGACCTGATGAAAACTTCAACAATGCTCAGGAGACGCTTCTCATCACGGTCGGTGGCTGCAAATCAGCTCCTCCCCATCAACAACCATCCTCCAGCGCCCACCCCATCAGGCCCATTCGTGGCTGCATCGTAATATGTCCGAATGTCCGCTATGGTAAAGTACCTTCCCTATCGCACAGCCTATCGCGCGAAGTTACATGGCGTAAAGTGGTCTCATTCGAATATGAAGCTGGAGCAGCCAAAAACAAGGTTGATCTTCAGCTTGTATCGTCTTAGCCGATATGACTGAAGTCCTACCTCTGTGCCCGATAAGTAGCAGGGGGAGCCGAATACAGCGCTAAATTATCTCTGAGGGCAGTCCTACTTGGCAAGTTGCAACACCGTCCATTTGAGGATCTCAAAGCACAATCGTTTGTTATTCTCGTTCATTTGAGTCGACACCTATTGATTACTCTTTGCAGTTTGACCTTCTGAAACCTCCTAGCGAAAGGTAATAATGCTTGCTTCAACCAACCGAACATACTCACAATGCCAATAATTCTATTCGAAGATTTTTGAGTCTGAGCAAAATCGGACAGCAAAAATTCGTTGAGCCACATAATTCGAGCCGCAGTTTCCTAGAGGGGTCCCCACAATATAAGTAGTCGACAAGCGGCTGATTCAAGCCGAAACAATTACGGTAAGCTTCTTCGAGCTTGCCGACATGCGGATGAGCTTATCGTGTTTCAGACGACAGTGAGAGCAACGAACGAGGTTCCTCCTCATCGAGGAGCACTTCAGAATATTTTAGAATTCACTACGTTAGAAAATTTCGCAACAAAAAATGACTCCATGCTGTGTGAAAAAAACAACAAGAAAAAAAAAAACAAACGTACCAAAATCGTCTAATAAAATGTTTTCAGGTTTGAGATCACGGTATAATATTCTTTCTTTGTGCAAATGTTGAAGCCCTAGAGTGATTTCGGCAGCGTAAACTGAACACCAGTTTCCTCGCAAAGCCCTCCGGGCATCAAATTGTACAGATGAAATTTAAGATCACCTAAAAACTCAAACGAATTGCAGTCTATCGAGTATGTTTCCTTCTTAGTATTCCTATCAAATTACCTCCATTCATCAGCGTCAATACAAGACAAAGCGCATCCTTCGTTTCGTAAGCGTAGGCTAGACTCACCTAAAATAGCATTTGAATCGTTATTTATGCTTACCTTCAAAGTACTTTTGAGAGGAAAGGAATGTGACTGAATAAGCAAATCTGGTAACGTACTCTTTGCCAAATCAAAGGCGTCAACTCAGTTTGTTTCAACAAAGCGTCAACCCGCTATAGCGGCTCAGAAGACTAATCGGTATTCATCACCTTGTCTATAGCCTCGACGCCGCAATGACTTATCGCGTCCGCTAGCTCTGTAAGTGGGATGGCCGCGAGTAAAATTCTTAAAATACGCCGACCCCTACCCTACCCAAGCTAGCAGCGGTACTTTGCAAATTCTCCTTCCCTGAGAAGGAAAGAGAAGAAATTATCATCGTAAATGCCATCTTAGACGCATTAAACTTAATATAACAGTAGTCTAAAGCATTGCATGACCTTCTTGAACATGCTTACCGCTAGGAAGAAATGTAGAGAACCTGTTTCCTGTGAAATGACGTACAAGAAATGTCTGCGGATTCAGCGATAGCCTCATTCCGTGTGTGCTGATAATACCTACGGCTACAGCCAGGTATGTCACAAAGATGCGAGACGGGAGGGGGGGGGGTACTCCCATCTATCAATTTGGAAGTGTCTTTACGAAAGTATATTCCGCTAAACGTATTTGCTGACCCATTCTACGTGAACAATGGGACACTAGTCCCAAACGTTTGCATTGGAGAATAGTGCTTTCCGAGGTTTTGAGACGAATCAGCGCCTGACGAAATGCCTCCTTCCGTAGCCGGGTACTATAACCGAACATTTGAAAAAGAACAGCAGCATTCGTTCGCTCATGCAGAAAGCCAAAAACTTTCACCACATAAAACATCAACTATGTACTTGAATGAAACATACCACAAATGGAGAGTTGATTCGTTGGAGTATTTGCTTCTCGTTCAAGCTAAGTGTTTCAGCATGCCGCTTTTTCACTCTTTTCTTTTCTAATTTCTTCAACGCGTACATTTTCCCCGATGCTCGCACCTTAAAGAAAAAATATTTTCTTCATCAGCACAATGTTTGGGAAAGCATTGAATAGGTACACTGAATCCTTGTTATTCCGCATTCAAGGGCCTCGTATAATGTATTTCGACGTTACAATAGAAATGTCTAGGGCCCAAACAGACTCTAACGGGAATCTGGCTGCCTTCGAAAGACTGGTTATCGACGGCGTTCATTGCGCGGTGAACTTCCTCCTACGCGACTGTTGTTTTTAGTCATGTTGTACTATGTGACTGGACCGGCGAACTGTCCTTATAGGTCTACCGTTGGTGTCCGAAAAATTTACCTAGTGATGAATAAACACTGACGACAGCGCGGGACACATACGTCCCGCACTCCCACGCATACTCGTTCATATTGGAGCCGCGAGTCGGAATAAGGTGCCAAGAGGTAGGCCTTCCGAGTGAGAAAGAGGGGTCCCCAACGCAAGAGGCGGTTTTTCATAGAAAGCTGTTGCTTTTAATGCTTTGAGTACGAGCCAGACTCCCACTTCCATCGTCTCACCTTCTAAAAACACACTTCGCTCCAGCAAGGGCATTTGAATAAAAGTAGGGATTTTGAAAAGATTCTACATCTTATTTCGTTCCGATGAAAGGAACGAACAGGATATTACCCCACAAATAGGAGGTGTAATGCTCATAAGGAAGACAGCACCAAGTCTACAGAAGCGATGTATAAACGTTTGTATCATGAACGCTGCCTTTAAATGCATGAAACTACACGGTCATTGGCTCCAGTGGGGATGAATGTTCATGCAAATGAAAATGAAAACATGATAATCATGATTAAGGATTTTTAGAGGACAATGAACTCACTTGACACGCGCACACTTCACCGAAGCCTCCTTTACCCAGAACTCGATATAGCCTGAATGTGTGCTTATCCACTGGTCTTTTCTCCAACCACTTCCATTGCAGATATCGATAGAACAGCATTGAATCGAGAAACTGCTTGAATGGTTCATCTGCTAAGTAGGCGCGCACCAACCTTAAAATAGTAATCATTAATGTACAAGAATTTCTGAGACTTGCAAAGAACATAAACTGTTGCCTTCCTTCAAGGCTCCTCAAGACAAAGAAACTGAAAAACGGTATATTTCGAAAAGAAGTGCCCAATCAAAACGAACGAACGGTATCACAACTTATTTCAATTAGGAACATTAACGGTCATCCAAACATTAAATCTCGTTTGGCGAAGCTCTGGATCAAAATTACGGGTGTGGTTCACTAGGACAGAAAGCGAATTTTCGCGTTTCGCAGCGCGAAACATTTTTCGCTGCGGGAACCTCAGGTCCACCGCTGATCATCAGTGGACCCGAGGTTCCGCAGCGAAAAATGTTTCGCGCTGCGAAACGCGAAAAAGTCGCTTTCTGTCCTAGTGAACCACACCCCAAAATTACTTGCCTCAGAGCAGGAATCTCATACCATTTCTGCCTATCCAAACCTATACAATGTATTCTACGATATGGCCAAACTATCAAGGAAAGACCCTTTTGTCGGGCCATTCAAGATGAAATGTATGCTCCTACATACGGGCTCCCCCACTTTCTTCACGATTTGGGGCGCGGCCGCGGCAAACCCGCGGCGTTCGCGGCCGAGTAGTGCGGCATCAGCTTGCCTGAGTATTCGACGTTACATTACGTGTCGTAATGTAACGTCGAATACTCAGGCAAATTCATGCGAATGTAAGTAACGATCGAATAATCAAGCAAACATCGAATGTAACGTCGAATACTCAGGCAAGCTGATGCCGCACTACTCGGCCGCGAACGCCGCGGGTTTGCCGCGGCCGCGCCCCAAATCGTGAAGAAAGTGGGGGAGCCCTACATACGTCTTGAAACGTGATCTCAAATTTGCCTCCGAAAACTGCTGAACAATTCAACGGAGTTAGGGGGCTTTTCCCGTGTTGCCTTGCATGTAAGGTAATCAAGGGGTAAACAAGATTTGGAGCAGTGATGACTGTCCTTGGCGCCCATAACGCCTGAATTGGGAGTTTTTCCGTCAAACAAGTGTGAGCTTGGTGCTCAAGGGGTCCAACTACCTCTGACTAGCAGTTGTATCTGATCGACCTCACCTCTAAGATGTGAAGCAGTCATTGATGTGAGTCCCAAACCGCAATACTAGCTGACCTTCCATGACAACGGCAAGTGTTTGTATGTGAAAATAATCCAATGATATGCCGCATGATGCTAATTGCTACTTCTAGGCGCGACTAAAAAGTTATTGCATTCCATAACCGGGCTCGGTTTACGGACTACTTGATTTTTCCTCAATGGTCCTGCCGCGATGGCTAGAGCACAGACGATTAGAGAACGGGTGAATGCCCTAGGACTAAGCCTTGGAGAGGAGAGGGACCCGCGAGAGAGCGCAGAGGCGGTTTAAAGGGCTGAGTTCAAGTAGTCCGTCGACCACCGGACTCCAACTATGAGTTGATCACAGATAGATGACCGCCCCACCTTTTTCGAAATTGAACCGAAATTTTTGGACATGGCTAGAAAATCGCGCTTGAAGGTGATATGATCCCTGGATACGATAAACTTGTTTCGCGTGGAAGCGCTCGGAGCGTGCGTTACGTACAAAATGAATAATCATCGGCAAACGCCTCCTATACTTTACGAATCATTAAACGTGTGAAATAGGCAAACGTCGATGAATAATGTGTATCGGATTCTTTTTAAAAACGTTTGCGTCAAAAACAAAGAACTAAGCTAGAAAGGAACCGATTCCACGAATTCTTGACTGGAAACCCGGATCTCACGCGCTGCGCTCTTCGGCTTCATAACTCAGAGAATCGAGAAAGGCATTATTGTGTTTACGTTGTTAGAGGGACATTCGAGACAAGGCATCCAAAACCGCCTGTAGGTGACACTAAGACTAAGCCCAGGAAAATGGAGCTATGCCATGGAGAACAAAAACTGCTCACATCACCCCCCCCCCCCAAGATCGCTTCCCAAGATCAGTCCAAAGTACTGTATGTACGCTTCCTAGGCAGCAAAATTGATATAAAACAATAAGAAAAATAATTACACACTTGTATGCTTCAGCAAAAATGTCGGTACGTGGCTCTTCATCTTGGGCAGCTGAGTCAGCGGTAGCGATAATCGATGATATGGTGTTTTCAGGTAAAAACGAACACCACTTGGTATGATCACACTGGGATGACTGAAAAAAATCGTCTTAGATCGGAACTGTTTACAAAACCAACGAATATTAAATCTCACAGAGGGAGTATCATCACTGGGTGCAAGAAGGGAAATGATAGATCGAGCCAGTTCTCGTCGACATTGTACGTCATCATCAGAAGTCTCGTATTCCTCAACCTAAAACAACCAGCATTATACTTGAATGATACAAGTAATATTAGCGAAACAAAAGAATACTGACCTTCGTCAAAAAGACACAGGCTTGGTGAAACTGAGGGCTTGTCGATTCACAGAATTCGCGGAATAACAACTTCCCAATTGGCTGACGTTCAACAATGTAGGAGTAACTATAAAAAGCAGCACGAATTGTAAAGCAAAACAAAAATCATTTCACACATTTCATCTCAGTGAAACATATAGATGATAATCGTGAGGGCCTAAAACTCTACGTGAAATGAACGCTAGTCAAGCAAAAACCTTTAATGCCACGAAATTCGTGCGCCAAAAGCTCATTCCCAGGTTGACAGAGGAATACTATGACTCGCTGAAAACGGTATTACCCTCCGATTAACGAGACACTCTAAGTGAGCAAAGTGAATTAGCCCAAAAGAACTTTTCTATCTATCTCCTGCCGTGTAGCTGTGCTAATGAGTTATAATAGTACCAGTGCGGTTATTGAAGCGATGCAGAAGCAGAGAAAATCCCAGAAAAACGGCCAGAGGCCATCGAGGGGGTCATATTTGGCCGACGAAAAAAAGGGAGGGAGGGGGGGGGGTCGTACGCGCAGAGGTCAGCATCGCAATGTGCGGAGATCTCTATAGCGATAGGTAGGAGATGATTAGCGCTATGAGGGTCCTAAATCAAATAAGTGACTAGCTAGAATCGCAACGGAAATGAAGAAATGTGAGGAGATGCGATTAAAGTCGTAGCTCTAAGCTCAGCCTCACAGCGTTAATTGATAAGAGTAAAACGGTTTGCTCTCGCGGCTGTAGGTGAGGGTATACCTTTCGAGTGCTTCTTCAACTCTAAACCACAAGCGAGTACATAGCGCATCTTACCAACCTGCCCAAATGATTGTTCACAGCCACAAATATTGCCCTACCGGGAGTGGATGCTTTTAGACCATGCCTATGTAAGATAAAGAGTAACCAGTTGAGCGAACTGACTTTTCAAGACAGAAGAAGACTGGAAACTAGGGATTCGTTGACCCTTCCAGCTAAGATTAAGCACCTATTGAAGTCATGAAACTCGCCGTTGTTAAACTAGTTCCCCATTACCCAAAATCCAATATGAAGTAGCTTCGCCTTCGTTATCAGTGAGAGGTCATCACGTAGTTTTTTTGCTGTTTGGAGATTGCAAGAAGTTTGGAATACGAGGAAAGTTACAGAGTTCAAATTCTAAAAACTCGTAGGTTTTCAAAAATCGGACCCAAAAACACCCAAACGGACAAATAGGCTATTTTCGACCTGTTCAATATTGAAAATACAAGTATTCGTTGGAAAGTTTAGTCTCGCAGTTCTGTATGCGAGGTAAGAATTGCAAAAGGTTGAATATTAAGAAAGTTACGACTTCAAGCTAAAATCGATACCAAAAAGCACATCGAAACGATTTTTGAGAAACAACGGGCACAAGTGAGCAAACGCTGAGGAAACAATTTACAAGGTTCCAACTTTTGTACCGTTGGTGCGCAAATGTCAATTTTGCTAAAAAGGACCGGTTGAAAACGCGCAGTTAGATGTGAGAATTCTCAAGCTTCTTACTTCATATCAAAAAAAAATGAATACACATAGTATGGTGATTTTCGATCCCAGCAAACCCGGAGTTCAAATCCACTAAAAAATTTTTGGAAAAAATTTATTGCGAAGAGTTGCGTTCGTTCGAGATGAGCAATCATGTCGTCTTTTCGGCAGAATGATGAAGGATATTGTGCGCGTCCTGGAAAGACGCGACGAAGCGGCGCGGTATGTTACAAACAATAACTGTAACGAGGGAAGGAGGGTGGGAGGGGTCCTGTACCGACTTCAAGAGTTGAGGGATCGTGAAAATTGAAGGATGCCAACCGGTGAGGTTGTGACCCGGTGGATAACCCCAACAGTGAGATTATGAAGTTCTTTGGCGAGTCCGCCCAACATACAGAAAATGTCACCATTTTTGGAATATACATTACATATTATAATTGCGTAGCATTAAAGTGGTGCGCCTTGCAAAGCAGAAAGGAGTGGATCCTCGATGAATGCCCTCACGCTTCGGAACCAGAGTAGGTGTCAACGCCTACACAACTGAATACGGCAGATATAAAATCGTTCCAATAAATAGTGCTTATGGGTATAGTATTCGGTCTCAGGACATCTGTCAACCGCGAGCCTTGGCGGTTCAGCGTTTTGTAGTGATGTCTGGGAGCTCTCACAAGTGCACACTATCACAGCATCTCCTCTTTCTTTATCTTCTTCAAAAGGCTTAGTCCCAATAAGACACAAAGTGTGTGCTTTTCCAGCTACGCTCTCACCCTTTGGTTGACAGAAGCCTTGTAACCACCTTGTTCCCGTAACCAGATGCAGTGCAATTGCAGAAACAGACGTGGCTTTGAGAGCATCTTGCACACACGTGATGTCGTCTTTTCATCGGAAACTTCACCAAAAGTGCCACGTCCTACACCTCGTTGTGGGGAACAGAAGGTACATGTAACAGCCAAATCGAAGAAAATGCGGCTTAAAGATCTCGCGTCATACGCCTTACCCCAACCCAGGGCCACCATTACGCTGAGACATTACGCTTTCCCGTGAAGACAGTAAGTGAATACTGGTCCCGCGACCAGAAAACTGAGCTGCCTAAACCGACAAGCAAATTTCCCTGCAGCTGCGTCGTGGTTTTTGTATGGACAGCCTTTGTCATGCTACTGTTGGTTCTCTATAGTACATGAACATCTGAATAACTTTTGAGGATCTTACGCGATGTTTGAAAGCTCAGAATGAGAGATGCTCGAAAAATTGGAGCAAATTATGCCAAAACTCGGATAAAAGTGGATAGGATTATGTTCAAGGCTTACATAAATACAGCATCTGTCAGTATGGATACTCTAAAACTGTAGCACGGATAGTTCAGTGTTTTCAAGATCAACTTTTGTAAGAATATTTCAAGTTCCAGCATTTGTTTGACCTTCGTGTTTTCAAGGAAAAAGTTCAGTTTTCGTTTTTGCCGCCATATCGTTAGTTACAACAGCGTTCAATCTATCCGTTGAAAGTGAAAGTTGAAACTAACGACACTTAGATCAAGAAGAAAAGGATCCAACATTGTCTTCATGTGCGCTTGTGCAATGTACAAACACTGTCCTAATACTACCTATTGGTGGACATCGCCAAGAGGTACTTCCAAAAGTGACAGCCAATCACTCCCGTTCAGACACTTGCCCTTTGGCCCGTCAAACGGATTTATGAGCACCTGTTCGACGCCTACATTGACTGAAAACAAGTGCAGGTGAAATCTACCTCCACGATGGAAAACGTAACATTATTCACCCACTATACCAACATCCATACCAAGCGTAGCCAAAAACCAGCTATCACATAAATGACGTGGACCTTACATCTATAGATATAACAATCCACCAGCAACAAGCATGTTTGCAAACGTTTGGCCCCATTTAATTTATACAAATGTCCATGTGATCACACAGGGCATTACAACGCGCTCTGCTGCGGAGACCGCGACGCGGCCGCGGGAAAACGTCAAGTGCATTCAAGTTCCCTTACAGCCGATTGCAAGAGAGCTGGCTCTACATCTATATTTGAGGCTTAAATGCTGGAGTTGTTCATGCGTACTACCGGTCAGCAGAGGGAAATAACATCTAAACTAAGCCACCTCAATTCCAAGTAAGACAGAAAGAAAGAAAAATAGAAAAAATTAGAGGAACAGCAGTTTGACACAAGACAAGACAAACAAACGAAACAGAATATCAAAAACTACTAGATTTAAGAAAAGAAGTGTCACTATAGTAAAAAAAAAATCTTCAAC